CACGCACATACACACACTCTCTCTCTATCTCTCACACACACTCTATCTTTCACATACATTCACACACGCACACACACACACACTCTCTCGCTCACACACACTCTCTCTCACTCACACACACACACACATACACACAAACACACACACACAGACACACTCAGTTTTAAATCTGTCAGTCTTTCTCATGTTGTTTGTCTTCCCTCTTTTTTTCTTTTTGTGTGCCCAACCGAGCACCCTTAAGTAGTGCCAAACAGTCGTTGGTCCCTCGTTTGGAGTGCCTACTGCACTCTGAGGGGGGCCTTTCGGTTCGGGATGTCTGTGTTGCATGTGGGTGATGATGGATGATCGTCGGAGTGTCTTCCTGGCTCAGTGGGTGGTGGGAACCAACAGTCTGCGGAGTTCAATAGTGATATGAGTAGGTCATGTGCCGCTTTGCTCTGTGTTGGATGTGTGGACTGCCTGGTCTGCGCTTCGCATGTGGTTCTCTGCAAGTTGATGCGTTCGCTGTGTGGTATGCCTACATTGTTGGTGTTGCCTTGTGCTTCCCTGCTCCGCTGCCTTGCTGCCCATCCACTGGTTGTGCCTTCCGTGGTTGCTGCCTGGTAGGTTGGTTGCCTTGTTGCTGTTGCCTTGTGCCTCACTGCAGGGTTGCTGAGCTGCTGGTCCGCTTGCACTGTCGTCTCTTGCAGTGTGGTTGCCTTGCTTGTGTTGCCTTGTGCTTCACTACACGGTTGCTTTGCTGTTCACCCATCTTCCGCTTGCCGTGTCGTACCTTGCAGTCGTTGTTGGCATTGTGAAGCTGTGTTGCCTCTACGGCATTGCCTGGTGCTCCGCAGGGTTGCTGCCCGCTGCTATGTTCCGCTTGGGGACAGTCTGCCTGCAACAAGGGTCAACTGGTTCGTGACCCAAACCATCAAATGCGGAGGTTCCACAGATTGTCGAGGGTTCAGCTTCCTGAGGAGTCGGTGCAACTCCGACGATACAACCTATCATCAGTTTTATATTTTTCACTTTGTTTTTTTGGGTCTTTCTCTTTTCTTTGTTTGTTTGTTGTTCTTTGGCTTGCCTTTTAATTGGCTGGCCTTGTTTCGTTTGTTTGCCCACCCGCCTCCTCTGTACCCTCCACCCTGCGTCCTTTGTTGCGGCTTGTCGTTCTATGCCTTACTGGTTGTCTTGTGTGTCCCTTTCAGGCTAGGGATTGTATGTTTTTATGTCTTCCATATGTCTAGTGGACTTGCAGTGCTACTTTTAAGGGTTGTATATTGACTTGACTCACTCAGATGCGTGTTTCCTCCTGAAGTATTGTGTCGGTAGGGGACACAGTATCTGTGCAGGAGATGTTCGCCATGTGTCTTTGCACACACATCATCACACACACAAACACAATCAGTTTTATGTTTGTGTGTGTCATTCTTCTTGTTTTTTTTTGTTTTTTTTTATGTGTGTCTTCTTGGTAATTTTTCTTACTATTTGTGTGACCTGCCGAGCACAGATGTGTATAAGAGACAGCTCTCTCTCTCTCTCTCTCTCACACACACACACACACACACACACACACTCTTTCGCTGTTGTCTTTCCTGCCTTTCTGTGCTAGCAAGCAGTGCAGTCTGCGGACTACTCGCGACGGGAGGTTTTAGCAGGCAGGCAGGCAGGAAGGCAGGCAGTCTTGCCATTACTTTTTTTTCGCCGTTTTGCTGGAAGGCTTTCCCTTCTTCGCTGGGGGTTGTCGGCCCTTTGCCTTGGCCGCGCCTTGGACCTCTCCCGGTGCGTCCTTCCGCTTTACTCCCCCCCCCCCCCCAGAAGGTGGTGCGGCATTGGCATTGGGAGGAGGCTTCACCGTGGGCTTGAAGAACGATTCCAGTCTTCCCTGTGATGACTTGCCCTTGGCAGCTTTGATCTTTTCCAACGCCTTTGCCACTCTCTCGCTGTTGAATCCATTCTCATCGACCAGAAAGGCTTTCACCGCCTCCTCGTCTGGGGACCCCCATTTGGGCTCATTCGTCGAGTCCGCTGGTCTGACATCTGGCTCCTTGAAAAGCCGCCTTGCTTCCTCGAAGGGAAACACTTCTGGCAAATGGTACCTGTCCTTGTTAAGGTGCTCAATCACCTTCTCTAACGAACCATGTTGTCGGATCATCTTCAGCCCCGTCTGGGGTCCTATTCCCTTGATTGATTCCAAGTAATCACAACCGCACAGAATACATAGATCTATAAACTGGTCCATTGTCAGCGCCAGTCCTTCCAACACTTTGTCGATTTCGAACTCTGTGACAGGGATCTTCTTGCTTGACGGCTCCATCAAATGCCTCAACAATCTGGGGGCGCCAAATGTCAAGCTGTCCATATCTTCCGACGCCACAGCGTAAACTTTTCCCGCCTTGCAAAGCGATACACATTCTGCCTCTGCCTCCGAGGGGGCCACCACCACTGGCACTCCCATCAGGGTCAACAGCTTCTGGCAATCTTCATTATGCGATCTTGTGGGCTTGATTGTCCTCTTGCTGTACTTCTCTATGTCATCCACTGCACCCGCCTCTTGAGCCTTTGCAAGATCTTCTGCCGCCTCTTCTCGCCTAGCCGTTCGCTTGCTCAGCTCGTCCGCCTTCAGCTTCGGTGGCTTGCCATCAAACACGTACACAGGCTTGATTCCCGCTTCAATCAAGCGGACAGTTCTCATGAACATTCCCTGCAAGTGGCTGGTCACTTCGCCAGCCTCGTTAGTCAGCAGATCACTCCCCTGCCGCCCAACCACAGCCAAGAACTGGTAAATGCATTGGCTTGCATCGATGGCAATCTTTCTCCCAAAATAGCTCTCGAACTTCTGTTCTTTCATGGACTGGGGTGCATTGTCTGCCAACAGCTTTGTCAGTCCCTTGATTCCCATGGCTACCTATCTACTACCGATCAATATGATGATCGCAATATGATGATGGAGATCACCTATCAAGGCAATATGATGATGGAGATCACCTATCAACGATCCGAATGAACGTTCACAGTGAGTTCACAGTGAGGGACAGGAGAGATGGTAATGGTGGGGTGGTGACTGTGGTGGATCCTCTCACACGGTTCGGTCACCCACCGTGAAGTTCTTCACGACCCTGTCACGCACACCCTTGTCACCCAACGTCATGTACTTCACCACGCCGTCACCCACCGTTTGTTACCGTTGCCCGCTCTCTGTTTGCCACCGTTTGCCGGTCGCTGTTTGTCACCCGTTTGTCAGCACTTGTCAGCGTTTGTCACCGTTTGTCGCACGTTTGTCACCCGCTGTGTTGTCGCCGTTTGTCACCGTTTGTCACACGTTTGTCACCCGCTGTTTGTCGCCGTTTGTCACATGTTTGTCACACGCTGTTTGTCGCCGTTTGTCACATGTTTGTCACCCGCTGTTTGTCACCCGCTGTTTGTCGCCGTTTGTCACACGTTTGTCACCCGCTGTTAGTCGCCGTTTGTCACCCAGCGGGACGAAGTTCACCGCCTTGTCACCCACCGTTTGTCACGGTCTGCTGGTTTCAGTCATCGGATCGTAGTAGGATAGGATACACCAGCCTGTCGCCCACCGTTGTCACCCACCAAGACTGCAGCCGACCGGTGTCGCGCACCGGCACGTCGTGTGCGACCGTATCGAACAGCGTGATGTCGTTCAAGAACATGTCGCACACCGCCACATCAATGTGATGACCATGCACGTTCGAAAAACAACACCCGTTTGTCCGTTCTGCTCTGCTGTCGACGCGCCGGTTCCCCTCCCTCTGGCGGTGTTGCTATCTCCGCAGGTCTCCGCGGGTCTCCGCGGGTTTTCGCGGGTTCGGGCGGGCAACACCCCCTCCTTTCAACGGCTACCCTAGTGCGAAGATCCATCTCCCCTATAGCGGCGTACTCTTCAGCCGAAGCGGAAGGACTCCGGATCTCGCTCCACTGCCCCCCAGAAAAGTGATGGCCCGGTTTATGTTATGTCCCTGACTTGTGCACACATGTAACTGTTCGCACCAGGTCATACATGTAGGCCCAGTGCACCCGGTTTATGTTATGTCCCTGAGTGGTCCCCACATGTACCTGTTAGCACCATGTCATGAGTTCGAATCCAGATCGTTTGACAGATAAAATAATGCTAGCGAGTTCCTTAGTTGGTTCGAGCTCTGGCGTTGCAAAAGAGAGGTCGTGGGTTCGACTCCTTTTTTTTTTCTTCTTTTTTTCTTTTTCTTTTTTTAGCACTGCCGGGGAGGCTCCATCTATTGGTGGGGAGCAGCACCTGCTGGAAAACGGGTCCAGCGTCCCTGAACATTGTGGTTGTTAGTGTGAATATATATGCAATTGAAATGACTACAAGCTACTGGGCTTACCTAGAAAGAATGAAGTCAGGCAGGTAGGACTACACAGCAGCCTGAGTTGCTGGCCTACCTGGCAGCCTACGGTATGTGATAGTTTTAAGTGGTCGTATACACAGATCTCCCGACTGCTATTAGGAGAGTTGGTCGCTGATTCTGAGAAATGTTCTATACCCCCCTTCATCAGCAAACAGTGTCTTATTGTTGCCGTTGTTTGCCTGAATCAGAGATGTGTTTGTGATGATAGTAGGCTGCAGGAGCGTCCTACAAAGACCTGGATTTTAGCACATAAAGGTGCCCAACGGCCTAAGTTGCTTGCCCACTGGCAGTGTAAAGTAGGTGATAGTACGCTCGGAGCCCATGGCTGCTGCTGAGGGAGTTGGTGACGAATTGGCTGTTCTGCTTCACTCCATTCGCCCAGCTAAGTCCCCAGGCCTGGTTCTATCATCCATGCTTAACTTACCAGTTCCAGTGGGTTCGACTCCTGAGAGGATGGTCAGGAAAAGAAGAGCTGCCTCGGGGGTACAGTAGGGGCACGGTGTTTCCGTGGGTGCCAGCTTGCTTTGCCTAGGTACTCCTGCTGGGTAGACTCTCTGATATTAGGCCTGTAGAAGATTGCATGAGCCTGGCGTCCGAAGCTCGCGTACAGCAAAGGTTTGTCCGCTTCGCTTCCACCAGGGCTGGGGGGTTGCCCAGCGTTGGTGCTCGTCACTGCTGTCTGGTCCAAGTTGCCCTTCGATTCTGGTAGGGTGATGGTCCTGAGTGCTGGTCACACTGAGGTAGGATAGTAAGGACAGGGGGTGCGCGGGAGTATTAACGTGGGGAAGGGTAGGGAAGGTGGCCTATCCTGTCAGGACAACCATCGGCTGCTACTGCTAGCGATCAGCGTGGGTCTAATCCTTGGCCTCTACAACACCCTGGGCTTTAAAATAAAAAATAAAAAAAAAAGAGAGGGGGGCAGGGAGTTTCAAGGGGTAGAGCTAGGGAGGGAGCATAGCTCTGCAAAGGTGTCATCATGGAGGGCAGTGACGTGCTTGAGGTAGCGAGGACCGAATAGGACCTGAATGGTGAGGAGGTGGGTGGGGTTTGCAGGGTGCGCACCTATACCACTGCAGGTGGGGGGCCATGCCGCACAGCTGGCAGGTTGTGCTACAGGGTTAGGCAGTAGTTGGCAACGGGGAGGATGGTTGTAACATGGATCCAGTGACCTATCTTTTGTCTTTTCTTGTCTTTCCCCCCCCCCTCAATTGGTCAGGCACACAAGTGGCATTCAGGAGGTGGTGGGTTCAATCCTGATGGTCGCCTGCGGTACACTTGGTGCCAACCAACTGGGATAGTCAGCTGGATCCTCCCGGTTGGTATTAGGTCTTCAGCCAAGACGGGTGTGAGTGCAAGTGTAAGTGGGTTGTGTGTGGCGTGTGGGAGAGTGTTGGCAGCAGACATTGCTATTACTTGATGGGGTGGGGAAAGATGAATAGTGAGGCACAGCTATTGGCAAATGCTCAATCGTTGTGTTAGCAGGGCCCCCTGGTGGCCCTAACCCTGCACCCTAAACCACTAGGGCAAGGACCAAAAATGCAATTACCTCCTTCCACCGAGAGAGAGAAGCTCCCTTCACCAAGAGAGGTAGATAGCTATGCTTTTAGGGGTCCCCTGTATCATATAGCCTTAGGAGTAGTGGTATCCCCTGTATAGCCTTAGGAGATAGGGTTCTTTTCTAGGGTTGATTGATTCTGAGCACACACATCACATTGGGTTTCACAATTAGAATGTTTGATACAGAATACACACATCATAGTTTTGTTAGGGTTTCATCTACAGACTGATATAGGATGTTTGGAAGGAACATACATTCATCACTGTAGAGGGATGCTGGACCCGTTATCCAGCTCATCTGACATATATTGCTGAACGTGCATACATAGGTAGTTGGAGATATCTACGTTTCTGCATAGGGATGTTGGACCTGATCTCCAGCAGAGACGTTCACATCTTTGTACAGGGACGCTGGACCCGATTTCCAGCTGTTACATTCACGTCATTGTACAGGGATGCTGGACCCGATTTCCAGCAGGTGTAGCTCCCCACCAATAGATGGAGCCTTCGACGCCGGGTCCTACTTACCGGGGATGCTCTTATCATCTCGTTAAGTAGGTTCTCGTTAATTGCCATTTCGTCAAAATGGACATCTTTTATTTTCTGAACGAAATCGAAACCGAGGTTTTTGGCCAAAAACTCGTCAAAATTTGTTGTTCCTGAGGCTGTACATGGACCTAGCTTGAACGAGGTTGAGAGGCGGGAGGGGGGGGGGGGCTGGCAAACCTCTTATCCGTGTCAAGCCCACTCCCTCCACGTCAGCATGCAGCATCTCTCCCGTCATGTTGATGCTCTCTACCCTGCTGCTGTCGGGGTCATCGCTGGCGCCGTAATCGTCGCTGCCGCCATCACCGCTGTTGTTGTTGTTGTTATCGACGTTGTTATTGTTGTCGTTGTTGTGACTGTTGTCATGGTAATCCCTGCCGCCATCATCGTCGTTGCTGCCCACGCCGTTGTTGTTGTCAGCCCCGAATTCCACCGCATCCACATGCGGCATCTCTCCCATGTCGCTGACGATGATCAGATATGCGCGGGCACTGTTCTCTACCCCGCTGCTGCCATGTCCAACGCTCCCATTGTAGGTGTTGTTGTTGACGTTTTGGTTGTTGATGTTGATGTTGTCATCATTATTGTTGTCACTGTAACCGTTGTTGTTGTCGTTGTTGTTGTTGTTGTTGTTGTTGTAGTCGTTGTTGTTGTTGTTGTTGTTGATGCTGATGCTCGAGTTAACCTCGTCTCCCTGCGCTCCGTCCTCCTGCCAGTCCTCACCCTCCAGGTTGTCTTTGCCCTTCAACCGGTCTTCAAGCTTATAGCGCAAGTTGCGACCCTCAGCGAAGAGGTCATAGCAGGTAGACATCATGGCCTCTGCCCTCCTCCAGTCGATGCAGGCTTCCAGCTGGGGATCCGGCCCCTCCTCCAGCCACCAGATGATATCCAGCATGTCGTCGGCCATATTCTTCAACCAAACAGCCATAGAGATCGCTCCTCCTTCGTCTTCTGGCTCCTCAATTGACTGCAAAGACAGCTCCCCCACCATCATCTGTAACCGCCTGCATCCCTGCTCCAATGTCACCAGCCAATCATCTGCTTGTCGTTGTAGCTCCCCCCCCACCTCCATCTCTAACCCCGATAGCTGCGCTCCACTTGTGTTTCCGCGCCGACCTCACTGCTGGCGCTACCCCTGCACGTGCGTCGCGGGACGGCCACGTCACCAATCAACAGACGCCACGTGGCAAAAGGAAGCCACGCACGATTGTCGGGCGCGCGCCCAGGCCTAGCAGCCGAGGAGCTTCCCTCCCCTGGTGCTAGTCTAGCCGGGGAGACCGGGCCTTGCCGGTCTGCCGGCGTTAGGGCGCTAGCGTTAGCGCAGCACCTCGCTTCTTGAATTTGATTTCAAACGACGTTGTTGTTGCGCTGCCGCTACATTCTTCTTGGCGCGCCGCGCGGAGAACCTGCTGGAGTGCAGTGCAAACTCTCCTCAGGCTGCCCGCACCGCGGAGAAGAGATTCATTCTCCTTTTGCCTTTTTTAAGAGAAAAAAGAGGACGACAATACCCCAAATAATTGTGTATTTATCTAACTCAGTAGGAATTGAACTCACCATCTGTTTTTTTGTTATTAGCTAAGCTTGTTCTGTTTATACATTTGTGGCATGTGTGGCCCATCTAGCCACAACACAAGGCTGGCATATTTAGTTATCTTTTTCACACTTGCAGATGCTTCTACAGGTCATTTCTGCTGCATCTGGACTAAGGACCTCGTTCGACACCACTTGAACTCAAGGGTTGACGGAAAATTATTCCTTCCACCCCCCTCTCCCTACTGACCCCCCACCGTAATGTTTTGACTTTGAATTCCTGCTCTCAGGCGTGCATACTTGAAACTCTCAAGTGCCTCTGGGGCGAAATCGCACTTGAACTCAAGGTACCTGTACCTGCTKCAGGTACCTTGAGTTCAACTGCCAGCGGATGCCGCCAGCAYTCCAATTGGGGCCTTT